AAGGGGCTGAGCGGGGCGGGGGGCAAGGCTGAAGGAAGAGATGGAGCCAAGGGCTGGGATGCGGCCGAGAAGAGAGAGGGGATAGAGAGGAAGCGGAGATGGGCCCGGGTGTGGCCCTCACCAGCCCCAGCGCGGCAGGCGGCACCAGCCCGGTGCTCACGGTACTCCAGGCCACTGACAGCTCCGCCCCTGGGGCCCCGCAGGCTGCACCCTCTACCATGGCCGCCACCGTCGCCATTTGCGCTGTCAGGCCTGGACCCTGGACCCGGACCCCACTCCCGCCCCGGGTCCGGCTCCGGCTCCGGCTCCGGCTCCGGCTCCGGCTCCGGCTCCGGCTCCGGCTCCGGCTGCAGCTCCCCGCTCCCGCTGCTGCAGCGGTTCTGATCTTGGCCCTGGCGCGCGCCGCGGTGACGTCAGACGCAACGCGCTGACGCCCGTGAGCCGACGCTGCGCGGCGCGTTTTGATGAGCTCACTTCCCCGTTGGCGCGCAAAGGGAGCGGGAGGGCGGTGTCTGAGGCGGCGCAGTGATGCGATAGCGGCGGTTGGGGCCGGTGTAGGAGGAGGCAGGCGGCGGGAACCTGGGGAGGATGAGCCAGCAGGGAGCGGCGCTTCAGAACTACAACAACGAGCTGGTCAAGTGTGAGGGCCGCAGGCGGCGGCGCAGCCCCGACCCCGAGCCACCCCGGACCCCATGCCTCCCTGCCCCTCCCCTCCCCGATGTCCTTCCCCGCGCCCCAGGCCCTGCCCCCGCTTCCCGCCCGGGCCCCCACCAGCCTCTCTCGCCTCCCCTAGGCATCGAAGAGCTGTGCCAGAAGCGGGAGGAGCTGTGCCGGCAGATCCAACAGGAGGAGGATGAGAAGCAGAAACTCCAGGGCGAAGTGCGGCAGCTGACGGAGAAGCTGGCCCGGGTCAACGAGAACCTGGCCCGGAAGATCGCCTCCCGAAACGAGTTCGACCGCACCATTGCGGAGACCGAGGCCGCTTACCTCAAGGTGGGCCTTCCCCCGGGGCAGGCGGGCCAACCTCCCCCCCCCCAGCCGGACCCTCCCACCCCCACCCCCCGCTTCGTGGATGGGCACTTAAACCCATGGAAACCCCAAGCTCACTTGTGACACCTGGATGAACCCCCCTTCCCCCAAGAGATATTAGGCTGTTCTCTAAGTCCATCTGTGTGTGCTAAACACCCCAAGGTTGGCAGAGGACAGGTCTAGCCTTGCAGGCTCTGGGTGATTTGTTCCAGAGAGCAGATAAGAGGCTGAACTTGGAGTCCTGAAGTCAGGAGTTCCAGTTCTGCCTCGGACATTTAACTAGTTGTGTGACCCTGGGCAAGTCATTTAACCTTTCCGAGGTTCAGTGTCCTTTTCGGTAAAATGAGAGCACTGGACTTCCGAAGTCTCTACAAGCTCCTGCTCAATGAGTCCATCAAGAGTGCCCGTGAGAGGTCTGAATTTTCCATTTTCTTTAAGGGTGGAGCTGCCAGACATCCCCCAACCCCAATGAAGTGCTCCCCAAGAGCAGAGCTTTGCCCTTCCCTTTCCTTCCATACCGTTATCCTTCTGTCGATGCCCCCCTAGGAAGTCCATACTATGTTCTAGGTGCTATGCTAGGCTCTAGAGGTACCAGGAGACACTAGGTGTGATGGAAAGAGAATTAATCGCATTTGGAGGTGGAGGATGTGGTTCAACATCCTACTTCTATTATTTGCTACCCATGGGGGACCTTGAACAAGTCCCGTAATTTCTCTGGGCCTCAGTTTCCTTATCTGTAAAATGAGGGAGTTGGACTAGATGATATCTGAGGTCCCTTACAACTCAAACTAGGACCCTATAAATAAATAAATGGCATGATCCAGGCCCTTGACTTAAAGATGAAGGAGAATATATACAGTAAGTAGAATGTACAATAAAAGGTAGGTAGTGATGTAGACAAAGGACCCCTTAGTACCTAAAGAGGTTCACCTTTCCAAGATGAGCAAGCATAAACAGTTCTATTTCTTCTGGTCACAGATTCTGGAAAGTTCTCAGACGCTGCTCAGTGTCCTGAAGCGAGAAGCGGGGAATCTGAGCAAGGCCACAACCCAGGATCAGAAGAGCACTACGGGCAAGGATAGCTGAAGTAGGACCATGGGCTAGAGCCTGGGGCTTTCCTAACACTCCCTTTTGTAGGCCTGCAGGGGACTTTCTTGAGAGGGAATCTGTTAATAAAGTATCTTTGTTTTTCATAGCTGCAGCATTTCCCTTCTCTTGCTGTTTTAGGCATGTGAGAAGAACTTAGCTCCCCAGTACTTCATGGGTATTCACTATTCTCTGGTTGTTTCATCTAACATGTCCTAAAGAAAAGGGGTAATAACAGCCCAGCCACTTGGGGTAGGGGTGAGTAATGCTCTGCACATTTCGTTGCCTTCTCAGGCAGAAGGAAAATGGGGGAGAGGGAAACGTGGAGAGGACCAGAGGCAGTTTTGCCTGAGAGTTGTCACTGCTGTCCTGGATCAGCCTTCAGGATATTTATTCCCAGGCCCCATGCTTCCCTCAAGGCAGGTGGCCAGGCAAAGCCAGTAATGGTGGGAATGAGTGGCCAAAAACCCTAACTAGGGACATGAGCCTTAATATGTGGTCAATATATTGCAGTTTTATGTGTGAATAAAGATTTCCTTATGATTTTCATCTCTGAGCCTGTTGCCTGTGTTATGGGGGGAGGGCTTTTTTTTCCTCCCTAACAAAGAGCCAGAAGCCTTTGTTCATTGTTAACAGTCCGTGCCCAACAATCTAGCCCAGATGGCTCCTGATCCTGCCCCCACTCCACCATGGAAATTGAGTATCAGAATAGAGAGTATGAAGAACTAAAATACAGGCATGAGATGAGGCTGGAAGGACTTGGTTTAGCCACTTGACTGAGGGACCAGGACGCTTTCCTACATGGAGGTGAGCAGGCCCAGCACAGTAAAGGACTAGACTTCTTTCTGTTCTTTCTAATGCTTATTAAATGCCTACTAAGGACAAGGAAGGCCTTATGTGACTGTATAACTAGTCCATATCCTATCTTAGGCCTGGGTTGTTTTGATCTCATTTCATATTATTCCCCTTTATGTCCTCTATTCCAGTCAAACTGACCTGCTAGCTTGTTCTTCCTCCACATTTCCTTTCCTACCTCTGTATTTGCACAAGTGGTCTTCCACATCTTGATAATACCTCTTAGAATCCTTGTCTTCCTGTACAACACAGCTTATATCTTGCCTCCTAGAAGAGGCTTTTTCTGATATCTTCACATATCAGCACATTCCCATTGAAATTGCTTTGTATTATTTTGTATACAATTTGCATTAATTTACTTGAGTACATGTGCAAGTTCTTTGAGGGCAGAGATTTGGGGGGTTTAGTCATTTTCCCAGGGCCTAGCATAGTTTCTTGTATATAATTAGCACTAAATATATTTGTTGAAATGAAATACTGCAACAGCTTTCTCTCCTATTTCTGTTTATTCTAACTCTTCCATAGAAAAAGGTAATAAGTCATCTTCCTCCTGAGGCATTTTGGCCTTGTCACCATCCACATTAACAATGGCTTCCCCATCAAATTAAAATACAAAGAAAGATTGAATGTATCATAAATGCTGTCTTGATGTGAATTTGTTTGTGGAAAAACTGTTAAACTAATGACATTACAGTATGTTTTAGATCTAATGAATAGTTAGGCCCATTTTTACCCTCCTAAGCAGGAGTAAGCCTAACAGAACACACTGACTTATTACCTTGTTTTACTTTCCCAATTCCAGCTATATCTTCATTGGGCAATCTGGTGTTAACAACTGGGAACTGCCTTCATCTTTATAATCATAGGAATTGACTTCCTCACTTACTGCCTCACCTTTCCAGTTCACACCTAAGCAAGAAGTAGAACCTACAGGTTTACAGACCATAATGAGTACTTGAAAATTAGTTTGTGAACAGCCAAAGTTCAAGCAACTGAGGGACTGTGTAACATTGTCTTATGCTCTTGTGCCTTAATGAGACCAGAGAGGGAAATGTCCAAGGTAGTTCCCAACAGATCACTCTTCTGAATTTTATCATAGGGCATTTATCAGTGCTTAAATCTGTTTCTCATTTCCTGGGCTGTTAACCAGCTTTTAGTGCCAGCCACTAGCAGTTATGAGTATTACAAGGGCTTTCAGGATTTAAGTATTTCCAAGGCATAGAACTGCACTAAATTTTTGCTGCTTTTTCCACTGCCTTCTTTCCTCATAGATTTGAAGTCTCAGCTCTTCAATGAAACCTTCCCAAATATATTACTCCCACCACTCACATCTTTCAACTCTACATTGCTTAGGATTCTTATCTCCCTACTCCTACATCTGGCTGGGTTTTGATTGCCATCCCTTGTGCCTCTGAGTATTCATGGGGTCTGGGGTTCCCAAACTCGGCAAGTTTCCAGGCATGGGAAAGAAATACTAACTTTCTTTCTCCTCTACAGTTAAGCAGGGCACGCTCCTACAAGACACAATACTGATTTTTTTCAAGAGTCTGTAACTTAAGATCTGACCCCTTGGCTATCTGCATTATAGAAAAAGGCTGACCATCCAAAGGAATGGAATGTGAACTGAGAGCCTAATTCTGACACAGAACAGAGAAAAGAAATGCACTTAGGGAAAAACTGGGGGAAGGAAGGCTGGGAAAAGCTGACTCAAATCAGTTTAGGCTCTGGAGCTGAGTGTACATTTTTTGTTGTTGTTGATGTGTGGAGAAAGGAGAGAGGCAGCTATGCCATGGGCACACTGAGGGCAAACTTGCTGTAGCCTAAAATCAAGAATGTCTAATCCCATCATGTTTAGACAATGGTCTCCCTCCCTGTTTCTCTAAGACCCAGGTGGTACTGGGCTCCCTTCCCTTATTCCCCCAGTAGACTTTCCACAGACTTTTTCTCACCTGCCCCTCTTACAAAGACATCATTCCACCTGCAGTGGTGATGAGTAGCCCTTGGAAAGAGAAGGACAACTGAGAAGAAAGGCAGAGTTTCTCTAGTGCTGTTTATTGAGTCCCATTTATCAGACAAAGGAATCATTCTGGTTAATTACAAAGTGAACTGTGCTAATTTTAACCATGTGTATAAGTACTGACTGGTTGAATGAAGGGGAAGAACCACCTGTGGAGTCATAAGCCCCTAGGACCCCAGAGAGGGGACAAGGCAGAGGGCAGGGCAGGGCGGAAAGACTGAACCCCTGCTTTCTGGCTAGGCCAGGTCTGGTTAAATTCACTCTTTTCACACATGCACACCCACTCTACCCCTTCACATAAAATCCTGATATCCAGTGCAGACATGGAGTGCTTTTAAGCCAACTAGGCATTGCTAGCCTCAGTAGTAAATTCAGAGCAGGAAAAGGGCTGCCCTACTAAAACAAACAGAAGGAGACAGGTAGCTAAACCAGAGCCTGGCACAAAAGGCAGCTGCAAATGGAGAGTAAACACCCTAAGCTGGCTTTGGGCCTAGGCTTCTGCTAAAAGGCCTGTGCTTCTTTCCTTAGGCAAAGGAAAAAGAAGGCCCTTTTAGGTGCAGTTATGGCCTCCTTTCCTGTGTCAACCTTCACCCTCCCAGAAGGGTGTTTCCCCCCTCAGCAGAACAAAGCCTGACTAAACAAGGATGGGCCAACAGTGGGATGAGGAGGCAAGGGATGTGGAGAAGCACTGGGAGTAGGCATAAGGGTAGGAAAGCAGAGGACAGGAATACCACCAATCCCACCAATATCAGTGCTACCAAGAAAAGACAAAGCTGCTCCACTCCCAGGCTTGGGTTATACCCCGAGGACTGGAGGAAGCCTTGCGGCAGAAACAGAAGTAGAATGCAAGTCAACAGGGAGGGGCTGCCCTGTTAGGCCTCAGTAGTGGAACAAAAAGCATGGCCAAGCCCCAGCATTCCCCAAAGATAAGGTGGCAATGGAGCTTCTTAGGGCTGAGGCCCTGCAGAGGAGTAAAGTCATACAGCTCTGGAAATGCTGTAGGCACAGATCCTGAGTACTTCATCTCTGGGCAGAACCAAGCCAGATGAAGAGAGGGGAAGTGGGCGAGGGAAACCAGCAGCAGCTAGAGCTATGACCCTGGTGGCTGAGCTCCCCAACCACAGCACTGGAGAATTGTGGCACCAGCTGCCCATGACTTTACCAAGTATCCCAAGCACCATGGTCCTGGGGGGAGAGGGGAAATGGCAGGCTAATATCTGGAGAATTTCTAGTCCCACTCAGCCAAGATCAGGCCCAACAAAATGAAGTGCTATTGGTTTGTCCACTTCTCAGTCCAAGGTGCTGGGAGATCAGAAATAGAGGGCTGGCTCACTTCGGAAGTCTGAGAGGTCATTCTTGCTGGCTGGGGTAAGCTACAAGTGAGAAAGGAAAAATGAGGTAAGAGGGCTTGGGAGTAGAGAGAGATTCTGTCCTACCCCCCTCCACAGGGCCTCCCAGGAAAGTTTACATTACATGCCATAATCAAGGCATTGTAGGGGCAAGGATCTTAGGGTGCTTTAAATTAGGCAGTGAGAGAGGGGCCAATGTAGAGACTGTGGAAAGGTCAGGACAGAGGGGTAAATCATCAGATTTGCCAAGGGAAAACAAAACCAGCCCCTCCCTGTTCCAAGCAGAACCTCAAAGAAGTAGGCTGAGGCCTCTGGACCCTAAGATAAGTGCTGTAGGGCCATAAAAGGTGGTCAAAAGTCAAAGAGCTGGAATGAACCTTGGAGATCAGTTAATCCAACTCTCTCCATATTTTAAATGATAAAATTGAGGCTGAGTGGGGGAGTGACTTTTGCCTCAAGTCTCAGTGACTATATATATGGCCCAACAGGGCCTTGAAGGCAGGTCTCTGAGCTCCTAGGCCGAGGCTCTTTCCATAGCCTGGCTCCTTGAACCCACAGGGAGTAACCCCCCCCCCGGCCCCTGAAAGCCAGGCAGTCCAGGGGCCCTGTTCCAAACCCAAACTCTTACCATGACTTCTTTCTGAGGGCTAGCCCCAGCTTCACATGGTCCTGCATCATACTTCTGCTCCTGCCATTTGCTGAACTCCACTGAGTGTTTTGGGGTATAACTGGACAGACCTAGGGAACCAAATACAACACATGCATGGATATGTACCCACCCATGTGTAGTCTTGATGAGCAGCAAAAAAGCAGTGGGTCCTACTCCATGCAGGACCCATGTTGGCAGGCCCTCCCCAAGTTGGGTACCATCAGACCAGTATTTCATGCACCTCAAATACCTGGTCTACTAAATGGGACAAGGACTCCCTCTCCAACCCCTGGGTACATCAGGGATTGGGGGCTTTTTGACTACCAGGTTTTAAAAGGTCTGAGCAGTGGGAAGACCTAGCTGAATCACACCTAATCTCTACCCTACTGCCAAAAGATGAATTCTCCCCGATGGCTGGCTCACCTGAGCTGGATTCGGGAGGTTGAGTGGTACTCTCCACTACAGTGCTGTTTACAAAAGTTGCCCGAGGAAGGAAGACAGCAAAGGGTTTCTCCTCCTCATCCTCTTCAGAGCCAGATGTCCCCTGTTCTTCCTCCTCTGCTGCTTCTTCCTGTACCCATGAACTCTCGGAGGGGTATTCAAATGTGGTCTGCAGGCTTTTCTCATTGAAGGAAATCTTCATCTAGATCCAAGGAAAGACCCTGAAGAGTGACAGGGACACTCCCTTCAAGGCATTCTCTGCCCTTGTACCTCATTAATCACCTTTACCTCCTCTCCCTGGGCTGGAAAGAATCCAAGCACAGCAGCTGTACTTCTATTCCAAACACCTCCCCCTCCCACCTCCAGTCTGGAGAAGCTGGTAGTTAGCTGCAACAGTGAGTTTCTGGTGCAAATCTCTCCCTGGGCAAATCAGCACTGACCGCTGCCCTTAGGCAAAAAAAGGAGCGTTATACCTTCCCTCTGGAGACTAGCTGGGCAACTACAGCAGTCCTTTGCCCTCTCAGTCTGGGTTCCTAATTTGTAAAATGGGATTAACAGTACACTACTTACCTCGCATGGCTGTCGTGAGGAACGTGCTTTGCAAACTTTGGAATGGAACAAGCAATATAAACATGAATCAATCCCTAGCTGGCCTGGCCTGGTTCTTCTTAAGTACTCCTTGGACTGGACAGCCACCCTCATTCTCCACCCACTCCTTTCCCTCCAGCAACATGGGCTTCATGACTGAGGGCCTGGTCAAGGCTCGGGCCTCAGAGCTGGGCCTTTTGATTACCACACCCCAAGAGCCTTCCTGCAGACCCCCAGCTTGGAAAACAGAACAGCTAGGGGTAAAATCAGTCAAGGAGCACTAAGTCTTTACTGTGTGCCTGGCACTGTTTTAACTTGTCTCCCCTATCAGAAGATAATTCCAAAGAACCAGAATGAAAAATGCTCTCCACCTCCACAGAGAAAACTGATGAACTCTTAATGCAAATTGAAGCATACTTTTTAAAACTTTACTTTTATTATATTATTTGTTTTCTTTTGCAACATGGCTAATATAGACATGTTTTATGACATATGTATAATCAAAATCAAAGTGTTTGCCTTCTCAAGGAGGGGGAGAGGCAGGAGGGAGGGAGAGAATTTGGAACTCAAAAGTTTAGAAAATGATGATTAAAAAAATTTGACACGTAATTAGGAAATATTTAATGAAATAAATGCAAATCTTTTTTTTTAAGTTGGGTGCCAAAGTTAAAAAAAAAAACGAACGATGAAAGGGATGGGTTAAGAGAAATTTGGGGAAATTTGCATGAACTGATGAACAGTGAAGTGAACAAAAACCAGGAGAATAATTTATAGAAAAACTAAAACGTCATAAAGACAAACAAACTTTGAAGGAATTAAAAAAACTTAATGCATCAACCATATCTCCCTGACAAAGAAGTGATGGACTTAAGACACAGAAGGAAACATACTTTTTGCACACGGCCCATATGGGCATTTGTTTTGCTCAACTATGCATATTTGTTACAAAGGTCTGTGTTTCTTTTTCCCTTTAATAAACAAGGTCAGGATAAAGAGAAAATAAATGCTTGTCAATTGAAAAGAAAAAGAAAAAAAAATTTAATGGCCATGGTTGAACCCTGGGTAGATAAATGAGTTGATCAATTCTCTCTTGGAAGTAAAGGATAAACCAGAGTGACTGATCCGTAGCCATGTCTCTCATCTGAAATATTCCCCCTTGTCTCTCCTCAAATCTTAAAAAACATAGCTGATTTCAATATTCTTTTAAAACCATCAGGAAGGGAAATCACCCACAATTCCAGGTGATTCCTTCAAATATGTATAAAAAAAGATGTATCTGCCATTATTGTACTATAGCATCTTCTTCCCTGGTCAGTGTAAATCACTGAGAGTTGACTGAATAGATTCTAGATCCCCTAGGTCACCTTTTTCTGTCTCCTTGCCTCCAGGTAAGGCCTTAAGACTTTACGTAGAGAAGGAAATAGCGCTCCTCCCCACCCTATTTCTCCTTAAGCATTTCCATTTCTCTGAACACCAACACGTTCCAAAGAACAGATTTGGGCAGAACCACCCAGGCCCAATGGGCACTGAGCCAAGGAAACTATCATGCTCACCCCCTTTCTAGACTAATGAAAGGGATGATTAAGAAGGTTAAGACACACTACTCTCTGCTTGTTTTCCCCCACCCCCAAACAAAAATGTATATATAAACTCAGGAGAAAAGGTTCCAAACAAAAGCAGGGCATCAGTGTGAATGATGCGGAACTTGGAGTTAGGGAAACCTGGGTTCAAATCCTGCCTCCAACACAGACTAGCTGTGTGACCATGGGCAAGTGCTTAATCTTTCTGAACCCTGGTATCCCCACTTGTAAAATGGGGGTGATAATACCTATGGCACCTCTCTTGAGAGGTTGTTGTAAGGGTCAGATGAGATAATCTAGATAAAGTTTTTTACATAAATGTTAGTTATGCTTAATGATACAGAACAGTGGCAGCCTGCAGTGTTTTTTCCTACAAAATGAGCTCCCACCCAATCATATTTGCAATTCCTGTACCTTGCCTAGAGAAAACCTATTTAAGGTTTATAGGAGATGAGTCCATCACCTCTTGGTTGCTTTATCCCTGGCCCAATCCCCAGCTCAAAGAGCACCTAGTCACCAAGTTAGGGCAGTGCTCAGGGCTTACCTCAAGTACAAAGCTGGGTAGGTCTACCTTTGGTAGCCAGTCAGATTCCCAAGAAGTGGCCTGTCCCCAACTCCCTTATACCCACCCACCTTTCCAGCCTTGCCTCTTTTCTACTGCCTAACACAGAACCCCTTCCCACTCGAGACCAAATAAGGACCTCCTCATTTCACCCTGCACATGCTCATTCTCATTGCCCTCCCCCCACTCCAATTCATTCATTCATGCTGCCCCTTCTTCCCTAATTCTAGGAATGTCCTCCAAATCCTAACCTTCCTTCAAGCCCCAGTCCTACCTCCATCTTTCTAGCATTTTCTCTTTCCTTCCTGTCCCCCCCACCTTCTCTAGACAGATCTCACTCTCCCCCTTTCACAAACTCATTCTCACCTCTCATCTTTGCTCATATTATTTCTTTCCTCTCCTAGAATGAACCCCAATCCTTTCCACTTGGCTAAACCCTACCTACCCTTCAAGATTTAGCTCAAGACCCACCTCCACACATTCCTCTCAGACTGCTCCAGCCCACAGTGGCCTCTCCCCTCTCTAAAATCCTCCAGCTGAGTCTAGCAGGCTTTAGGAATTATTCTTCTACTCCACTAAAGTCCTCCTCTGAGGCCTCACCACAGTTTGGAGGTGACCCTCAGCTCTTTTTAAATATAAACAGTTTTCAACATTTGTTTAAAGTTAAGCCAATAATCAGCTATTTATAAAGAAGAAAAACATTGCTAGAACTGAGCTCTAGAGCCCTGACCTTCCGCCTGTTCCCATCAGATGTACCATTCAGGTCTCTCCCTGCCCCTCCACAGCCCTTTTGCCTTTTCCCTGAATGCCCTGGCCTGCCTCCCTCAACTAAGTTCCCAGGGTCACATGAATGCACAGAGGACATTCCAGTTCAGTGATCCATCTTCTCTCTGTCCCCTGGGAGCAGGCATAGGCCGTCCAGGGGGCCCTTCATAGAGGGAGGTGGACTTTGGCCTTGGCCTCCCCCTCTCTGCCTGGAGAAGAATAGCCACTGCTTCCCCTCAATCCTCCCTAAGAACAGAAAGGAAAAAACAGCCAGTGGATGGCAGGTGACATGACAGTCCATGCCTCACTAATGACATGGGTTCCACCCAATTCCCCCTGGACCCACAAGGCCATGGCCAATGCCATCTGTTTGTATCCTGGTGACTTCCTGCACACCAGTTCTGCCTAACCCCTCCTTCACAACAGCCACTCCCAGCTCAGAAATACAGTTATTTATACCTTGGGCTCCGGAAGGGGAAATCAATGTTTAGGCATGTTGCACAGGGTGTGTATGTCTGCCTGGAAAAATACCATTTGGCCTTGATGGGGGGTAGTATACAGCAGAGTCATGTGACCCTGAAGACTACTGGGGGGGGCACCCACATACCTGTTGAGCTGGCTATTGCCTTGACTTCAAGAACAATTTGAGTGGCTCTGGGTTTTGATTCAGAGGCCATCACAATGGCCTTTATACCCTGAAGAGCCCAGCCCTGGGATGCTGCTCCTTCTCTAAGAAAATGTCCAAATAAGAGCTGGACAACCCTCATTGCCCACAGGCCTCCCCCCCCCCCCAGCAAATACCAGCCTTAGTGTTTGAGAGGGAAGCCCAGCCCAAGGAGCTTATTCTGTCCCAGCTGAGTTCCAGTCATAGCAAACACACACCCTAACCCCTCTCCATTCCCCCTCCCCCACCTCCGGGCAAGCCACAACCCCAGCAAGGAGCAACAGGCCCGCCCTGGCACTTCCCCAGGAACATGTCGCAGATGCATGTCCCAGCTGGAGGAGTATCCAGCTCATTCAGCATCCTGGCCTGGACTCCAGCAGATGCCCTGAATGTGCCTTGAAGGACACAGTCAAAACAGGAAAAGACCATGGCTACCTCACAAAAACTAAGGCAGAGGATCAGCGCTTCCACAGAGCCTGCCCAAAGCCAGTCAGTGGAGAAACCAGGGGAAAATCCCAAACATCAAGACTTGAAGGCCAGCTCCTGACCCACTAGATTGGCCTATCCTACCTCTTCTTCCAGTATTCAAGAAGGTCTTAATCTCAACCTCTCTTGGATGAAAAAAAAAGGTCTTTAGAATGCCCTCTTAGGGAGAAAAGAAGAGAAAACATGCCCAGTTCCTCTCAGCAGGAATGTAGGGTACTCTAGGTATGGAGTATTTTGAACACTACCAGACATAGTTGGATGTTTTGCTCAAGGAGGATGCCATGAAGAAGGGAAGATTGGGAGGTTATCTGCGCGTTTAAAAAGAAAAAGTGTGGATCGGGGAGGAGTGGCCCTATAATCCACCAAGCAATTCCAAGGAGCTATTTTCTCCATTATTGACAGATTTCAGCAATACTTATAGGTATGTCTCCCTCCACCCCTCCCATTTCACAGGAGCTGATTCTTAAGCGCTTTGGGGTACATTTTCTACCCAAGCACCCAGGGCAGGGCAGACAGAAGGGCATTGGCTGAGATCACACCTTCTCTGTTACCCAAAT